CTTGTTAGCAAATTCTCCAAATTTATGACCAACCATATCTGTCTTCAGAGGGATTCAGCTGGACAACCGAGTGGCCGAGTACTGTGGATAACTGTCATTGGTCTAGTATCCCACCTCTACAACAATCTGGGCTTCAAAAAAAATAAAAAAAAATAAAAATGGAGCTAGGGGCCTCGTCCCACTACGTCCGATTTACACTTGTGCTCCGCCGTTTTCGACCACGTGCGGTCGTCTGTGACATGCGTGAGTCGTTGATCATTTCGTGTATCCACTGCTAGTGTGGATTATCTTTGTTTTCGTGGATGCAGCTTCCTGTCGGCCAGTATAACTTTTTTCTTAATCATTTGTTGGCCATTTAGTTGGCCACTTTGCATTGGCGTGAAGCTTCAATACTATGTTTTTTTTTTTTTTGGGGGGGGGTTGTTTTTGAAGCTTCGCGCCTTACTATTTTTTTCGCAGAAATTGAGAATATTGAGATTTCCGTGGAAGACTGCGAACAGGCCGGCGGGAAGGTCGCATGCAGATGTACCGGGTTGGTGGAAGTGTGGATGCATAGCGTTGGCCTTGTTTTCTTCGCATTTCTGAAAATAAAAAAAAGGATTCTTTATACGTTTTTTTTTAAAGAAACGGCCGTCACACACCGTTTTACACGAAGCTAGTGGGTCCAGGCCCCAGGGCCATAAGGACCTGTTTTATGGAAAAAAAAAGAGAATGAGTAAACTTAGGGCCATCAAGCCTAGCACCCTAAAAAAAATAGTTTTCCTGCTTGTTCTAAACGATTTTGTTTTGTGAAGGTAATAGGTATCTAATATTGTCTGGTTTCAAAATGGACATATTGCCTGCGTACGGATCCGGGCTGCCCGGCTGACCGGCGCCTGCCCGGGGGAGGTCCCGGGCGGCCTGGCCGGGCGGGCGGCCCGGTTGAGGGCCGCCCCCCCCCGGCACACCTTATTGGCGGGGGGTTTCCGACCCCGAATCGGCTCGATTTTGCGTGGCCAGGGCCTACTGGGTCCGACCACACCGAAAAAACGGGGCGTCGGGCCCGTGAGGCCTGCTTTTTTTTTTTGAATTTTGGACGGCCCTCCGGCCGTCAATCATCCATGATCGATGGCCAGAGGGCCGTTCGTTTTTGGAGGGAAAAAGGAGGCCCCGTTTGAACAAGCGAGTGGCTGGGGCGGTCTGCATTGGCTTTCCAAACGGGGCCCCTGCTCCAGCCGCCTGCATTCGTCCTTGGTGTGCGTGCGTGGTCGAAGCAGCTGCCCATCGTCGCCATCGCCTGGGAGCTTCACTCGCCCGTCGTCGTCGAGTCGCCCGTCGCCCGTCGCCAGCGTTGTCCATCGTGGTGCTCGTCGACGAGGACTGCCTGCCAGCATCCACTGCCACCCGTCGATGAGGATTGCCCGTCCGTTCTTCTTCTTCTTCTTCTTCTTCTTCTTCTTCTTCTTCTTCTTCTTCTTCTTCTTCTTCCCTCCTCCTCCTCCTCTTATTTTTCTGCTTCTTCTTCTCTCCTTCTCCTCCTTCCCCTCTCATCTTCTTCTTCTTCTTCTTCTTCTTCTTCTTCTTCTTCTTCTTCTACCTCTTCTGCTTTTCTTCTACCACGACTTCTTCACTCCTCCTCCTCCTCCCCCTCTCATCTTATTCTTATTCTTCTTCTTCATCTCTCGTCGTCGTCCTCCCGCTCATCCTCTTCTTCTTATTGTTCTCTCCTCCTCCTCTTCCGACTATCTTCTTTTTCAAAAGTTTTTTTTTTTTTTTTTACATT